ACACACACACTCTCACACACACACACACTCTCTCTCACACACACACACACACTCTCTCTCTCACACACACACTCTCTCACACACTGTTCGAACTGTCCTGAGCACGTTCTCAACAGCCAGCACCTGAGGTGTCTTCTTCTTCTTAAGTGCATTACCTGCACCTCTCTCTCAAATGGACCAATGACACTATCTACAATCTCAATTAGGAGTGTCAATGGTTCATTTGAGAGATCGGTGGCAGTAATGCACTTATAAGTCTGTGATCTGCCGTAAAGCAAGAAGAAGAAGACGCGAACGGCCTGCTGTTGAGAACACGCTCAGGACAGTTCAGACATTGAGTGAATGAGATGTAAGAAACGATATAAATACTGTTCAGTTTCTTGCACAGACCGATCGTTTCGTGTCGTTACACATCAGTGTATCGTCAGGAGCCGCAGGGTTTAATTTGGTTTTGTTTGTGTATGTTTTTTTGACTCTCAAAGCCGTGATTCCCATCCACTTACATTATATGACTGACAGACTGCAACGGTTTGAGTTAAAAATCTCCGTTTGTGTTCTACTGAAGAAACAAAGTCACCTACATCTCGGATGTCCCGGGGCTAAGCAGATAAACATCACATTTTCTTTTTTGGGTGAACTATCCCTTTAATATAGCAAATAGACTTTGGCTACTGAGAATCACACCTGTCTCTGAGAGTGGCAGCCGCTCCTCCAATCAGAAGACGTCTCTGCCTGTCAATCATTCGCCTGCTCTGGCGGTGGGGGCGGGGCTTTAGAGAGTAGTTTGATTACAGTTACTGTTATTATACTCCACTAAAACTAAGACCGAAAATAAAAACATTTTTTGTTAATTGAAAAAAAAAGTCAGCTGAAATAAAATATGACAAATAAACTTCAGCTAGTTGCCAAAGCAGCATTTCTCATTTGTGTTTTAATTTTAACTTTAAGTATTAACATAAATAAAACTAAATCTGAAATTAAAATGTCTGAAAAACTATTTAGATGCATTTAAAACAACAACAACATTTGAAAGCCTGTTTCTGCCACAGAATAATAAAAAACAGTCATTATGACTCTTTATCTCATAATTCTGACTTCTTCTCAGAAAATGTACGTCTGGCAGCTTTTATTCAGCATTGCTTGAAAGAAAAGTCAGAATTGTGAGAAACAAAGTTGCAATTATTTTTATAACGTGGAAGCAAGCTTCCATAACAAAACAAATGACTGCAACTCTAACTGAAATGAAATTGGAAATGCTAAATATCCAAACAAGAACGAATTTGAAGTATTAATAAAAGCTATGAGTATCTCAAACACCAGTAGTAGTAAAACACCAGAGAGAACAGACATTATTATTATTATTGAGCGGTGACTGTAATCTGATCAGTTTCAGTAAATGGATGTAGACTGATTGGAGCTGCAGTCATCAGTGTTTCTGAATGTAGGATCCTTCCTCCCAGAGAAGCCCCG